GACCCTTTGGACCTTATTGTAGACCAATTTAAAAAACGGGACCCAAAATTAAAAATCTAAAATCACGGTTAGATTTGGCATATCAAAGAACCCCAATAATTCAATTTTTAATGAAATCAAACAAAGTTTAATTTTGGACTCTTTTGACCTCAATATGAACCAATTTGATAGCGGGCCCACAAATAAAAAATCTAAATACATGGTTAGATTCAGCATATTAAAGAACCCCATATATTCAATTTTTGTTGAAATCAAACAAAGTTTAATTTTGGACCCCAATTTGGACCAACTTGAAAACTGGGCCAAAAATCTAAAATCTAAATACATGTTTAGATTCAGCATATCAAAGAACCCCATATATTCAATTTTTGTTGAAATCAAACAAAGTTTAATTTTGGACCCCAACTTTGACCAACTTGAAAACTGGGCCCATAATCAAAAATCTAAACACATGTTTAGATTCAGCATATCAAAGTACACCAAGAATTCAATTGTTGTTAAAATCAAACTAAGTTTCATTTTGGACCCTTTGGACATTAATGTAGACCAATTTAAAAAACGGGACCCAAAATTAAAAATATAAAAACACGGTTAGATTTGGCATATCAAGGAACCCCAATAATACAATTTTTGTTGAAATCAAACAAAGTTTAATTTTGGACCCTTTTGACCTCAATATGAACCAATTTGATAGCGGGCCAAAAAATAAAAAATCTAAATACATGGTAAGATTCAGCATATCAAAGAACCCCATATATTCAATTTTTGTTGAAATTAAACAAAGTTTTAATTTTGGACCCCAATTTGGACCAACTTGAAAACTGGGCCAAAAATCTAAATACATGTTTAGATTCAGCATATCAAAGAACCCCATATATTCAATTTTTGTTGAAATCAAACAAAGTTTAATTTTGGACCCCAACTTTGACCAACTTGAAAACTGGGCCCATAATCAAAAATCTAAACACATGTTTAGATTCAGCATATCAAAGAACCCCAAAAATTCAATTTTTGTTAAAATTTAGTTTAATTTTGGACCCTTTGGACCTTAATGTAGACCAATTTAAAAAACGGGACCCAAAACTAAAAATCTAAATACACGGTGAGATTTGGCATATCAAAGAACCCCAATAATTCCATTTTTGATGAAATCAAACAAAGTTTAATTTTGGACCCTTTTGACCTCAATATGAACCAATTTGATAGCGGGGTCCACAAATAAAAAATCTAAATACATGGTTAGATTCAGCATATTAAAGAACCCCATATATTCAATTTTTGTTGAAATCAAACAAATTTTAATTTTGGACCCCAATTTGGACCAACTTGAAAATTGGGCCAAAAATCAAAAACCTAAATACATGTTTAGATTCAGCATATCAAAGAACCCCATATATTCAATTTTTGTTAAAATCAAACAAAGTTTAATTTTGGACCCTTTGGACCTTAATGTAGACCAATTTGAAAACTGGACCCAAAATTAAAAATCTAAATACACGGTTAGATTCGGCATAACAAATAAATAAATGTGGTCAAAGATTTTACAAATCTAATGCGCCATACTGTGCAATTAAAGATTACTTCTTGAAATTTTTCAATATTTGAAATTTGAAAAAAAAATAATATTTGAAGAATAATTCTTTATAATTTCTGAAATCTGAAATGAGAAAAATTGACCCCCCACAATTTCTTTTTAACCCCCCCCCCTTTTTTCCCCAAAAAAATTCTTTCCCTCAAGATATGGTCATAATCTCAATTCAAATTTCCAATGGAATTTGCAACCATAATTACCCATTTAAATTTACCATAATGCTAACTTAATCTATTTTATAATAGAATTCAAAATATAGTGTCAAATCTTTCATATGGATTTTTTGGTAAAAAAAAAGATGCAACATTTGCAGATATTTTTACTGGTCTTCCTTTATAAATATGCATTTCTTTAAACATAATTTAAAAGCAGTGTAAGGGAAGTAACCAAAACGTTGTATTTGGATTACCTCCCTTACACTGTTTTTAATTATCTTAATTGTTCATTAACCATTCCTTTATACATAATTTAAAAGCAGTGTAAGGGAGATAATTTCAATGATGTATTTGATTTATCTCCCTTACACTGCTTTAAATTATGTTTTGTACTAAAGTATTTGTCCATTAACCAGGACAACCTTGTTTTTCCCCCTTTTTTGCCCCTAATTCTTAAACGGTTTGAGCCATACTCCCCCAAAGCAAATCCTAACCATCCCTTTGTGGTATGGAAACTTGTAGTATAATTTCAGAGAGATCCATACACCTTTCCACAGTTATTGTCTGGAAACTAGAAAATGCTTATTTTTGGCCCCTTTTTGGCCCCTAATTCCTTAACTGTTGGTACCATAACCCCCAAAATCAATCCCCACCTTCCTTTTGTGGTATTGAACCTTATGGTAAAATTTCACAAAGATCCATTCACTTAAACTAAAGTTAGAGTGCGAAAACTAATGTGTATTCGGACGACGACGACGCCAACGTCATACCAATATACGACCACAAAAATTTTTTTGCGGTCGTATAAAAATGAAAGGGAGCTCACGTCAATAGATATAAACAATTCACCAAAGTTTTATGCAAATTGGTTAAAGTGTTTTTGAGTTAATGTCCGACATGGTGACAACGGACGGACGGACAGAGGTTTACCATAATACGTCCCGTAAACGGGCATATAAAAATGCTTATTTGGGCCCTTTTTTGCCCCTAATAACTATTGAGACTATAACCCCCAAAATCAATCCCAACCTTCCTCTTGTGGTCATAAACCTTGTGTTTAAATTTCATAGATTTCTATTTACTTATACTAAAAGTTATTGTACGAAAACCAAATGTCTTCGGACAACGACAACGACAACGACAACGACAACAACGTGATACCAATATACGACAGCAAAATTTTTGGTGGTCGTATAAAAATGAAAGTAATGTGCACGTTCATTGTCCTTGATGTTGACGGACATTCGAAAGAAGCGTTTTTCTTTCTTTTTTTTCCTCATACAAGAAATAACAGCGGCAATATAATCTAAATACAAATAGGTCAACTATAAACGTCTTTGTTTTCATACACATTAACTTTCAACTGAAAGCTGTTATCCCAAGAGAAAATGAAATCGGGATCCATCGGGATCCCAATGAAATCCCGGTGAAATTGGCGGGATAAGCCGGGATAGGCATCTGAAGACGGGATCCCATTCGGGATAAATATCTGAAACTGGGATCCCATTCGGGATATCTGTCTGAAGCCAGGATCCCATTCTAGTTGAAACGGGATAAATATCTGAAACTGGGATCCCATTTGGGATAACTGTCTGAAGCCAGGATCCCATTTGGGATAACTGTCTGAAGCCAGGATCCCATTCTAGTTGAAACGGGAAAACATAAACCAGAATTTTGTTTGCAAAAATACGTAAGTGTTTGGTAAACAGGAAGTTGTTGAGTGCTGAATCTGAAAACGCATATGGATCTATTCAAATAGCATGATTGTTTTAACAAATATGGTTTTTATCCATTTACAGCCATGTTAGTAGTTCAAATAATTATGACGTATGGCAAGGCTATTTTAAGGCTATTTTTTTTCCAGGACGCCTTCCTTCTTTGTCAAATATTTTTGAAATACACAATTATTTATAACATAAAGCAAAGGTTATTGGTGTTAATTAACAATGTGTATGACACCAAATCTGTCAGGTTAAGCCAATCACTTAATGGGACACTTAATTTTCAGTTTGACAGTATTTCTAAGTCAGAAAAATGCAGAGATTTCCGCGATAAAAATGGCAGGGCGTCCAAGAAATGTCAACGGCTGTTTTGCCAGACAAGCTGGGGTGTTTATGATTTTCTCCAAGTTCACATAAGTGCGTTTCTATTAATTGTCGTCCGGTATATATCAATGATACCCTTATGATCGACATCGTAAAAGGTTGGTTTCTCAACTTATGTAAAATGTAAATAAAATGCTCCGCAGGGCGCAGCTTGATACGACCGCAGAGGTCAAACCCTGAACAGTTGGGGCAAGTATGGACACAACATTTCAAGCTTTATACAGTTCTGAATTTGGATTGTGATTAAATATTTGACACAGCATAGGTTTCTGACACAGAATGAATGTGGTCTAAGAACTTAAAAATTTTAAATTGGACATTCATCTATTATGGTCCAATATCCAAAATCTAAATACATGGTTAGATTCAGCATATCAAAGAACCCCAAATATTCAATTTTTGATGAAATCAAACAAAGTTTAATTTTGGACCCTTTTGACCTCAATGTGGACAAAGTTGATAACGGGGCCCACAAATAAAAAATCTAAATACATGGTTAGATTCAGCATATCAAAGAACCCCATTTTTAAATTTTTGTTGAAATCAAACAAAGTTTAATTTTGGACCCCGATTTGGACCAACTTGAAAACTGGGCCCATAATCAAAAATCTGAATACATCTTTAGATTCAGCATATCAAAGAACCCTGAGAATTCAATTTTTGTTAAAATCAAACTAAGTTTGATTTTGGACCCTTTGGACCTTAATGTAGACCAATTTGAAAATGGAACTAAAAATTAAGAATCTAAACACGCGGTTAGATTCGGCATATCAAAGAACCCCAATAATTCAATTTTTGATGAAATCAAACAAAGTTTAATTTTAAACCCTTCGGACCTAAATGTCGACCAATTTAAAAACGGGGCCCAAAATCTAAAAACTAAATAAACGGTTAGATTCAGCATATTAAAGAACCCTAAGAATTCAAGAATAAAATCCCATTGAAATTGGTCAAGAAATAAGCAACTTATACGAAGTATCTTCTTTTGCACAATACTGTGCAATTGAATATTTCTTGCTATTGCGCAATATTGTGCTATTGGATATTTCTTGCTATTGCACAATACTGTGCAATTGAAGATTTCTTGCTATTGCGCAATACTGTGCAATTGAAGATTTCTTGCTATTGCGCAATACTGTGCAATGAAGATTTCTTGCTATTATGCAATACTGTGCAATTGAAAATTTCTTGCTATTGCACAATACTTATTATATAATAATTTACACATCCTGTTTGGTGTGTATCTCCTACAATATCATTATTATTTGCTTTTAAATATAAATCAGAAATAACCAACTTAAAATGGAAAATTTTAAAAGAAAAAAAAAAAGAAAAAAAGGAAAAAAAAGTAAAAAAAAAAAAATCCCCCCCCCCCAAATTTTTTGAACCCCCTTATGATTCATCACCCCCAAACTCAATCCCAGCCTTCCCTTTGTGGTATGGTACCTTGCAGTACAATTTCAGAGAGATTCATACACTTGAACACAAGTTATTGTCTGGAAGCTAGAAAAATGCTTGTTTTTTGGCCCCTTTTTGGCCCCAAATTCCTAAACGTTTATGGCAATTACCCCCATACTCAAACCCAGCTTTCCCTTTGTGATATGAAACCTTGTAGTACAATTTCATAAAGATCCATACACTTACACACAAGTTATTGTCTGGAAACTAGAAAAATGCTTGTTTTTTTGCCCCTTTATGGCCCCTAATTCCTAAAATTTTGAGGCAATTACCCCCAAAATCAATCCCAGCCTTCCCTTTGTGGTATGGTACCTTGCAGTACAATTTCAGAGAGATCCATACACTTGAACTCAAGTTATTGTCTGGAAACTAGAATAAAATGCTTCGCTGGGGCGCAGCTTGATACGACCGCAGAGGTCGAACCCTGAACAGTTGGGGCAAGTATGGACACAACATTCAAGCTTGATACAGCTCTGAATTTGGATTGTTATTAAATATTTGACACAGCATAGGTTTCTGACACAGAAAGAATGTGGTCTAAGAACTTGAATTTTTTTAATTTACCTATTATGGTCCAATGTCCAAAATCAAAATACATGGTTATATTCAGCATATCAAAGAACCCCATATTTTCAATTTTTGTTGAAATCAAACAAAGTTTAATTTTGGACCCCAACTTGGACAAACTTGAAAACTGGGCCCATAATCAAAAATCTAAACACATGTTTAGATTCAGCATATCAAAGAACCCCAATAATTCAATTTTTGCTAAAATCAAACTAAGTTTAATTTTGGACCCTTTGGACCTTAATGTAGACTAATTTAAAAAACGGGACTTAAAATTAAAAATCTAAATACACGGTTAGATTTGGAATATCAAAGAACCCCAATAATTCAATTTTTTATGAAATCAAACAAAGTTTAATTTTGGACCCTTTTGACCTCAATATGAACCAATTTGATAGCGGGGCATACAAATAAAAAATCTAAATTCATGGTTAGATTCAGCATATCAAAGAACCCCATATATTCAATTTTTGTTGAAATCAAAAAAAGTTTAATTTTGGACCCCAACTTGGACCAACTTGAAAACTGGGCCCATAATCAAAAATCTAAACACATGTTTAGATTCAGCATATCAAAGAACCCTAAGAATTCAATTTTTGTTAAAATCAAACTAAGTTTAATTTTGGACCCTTTGGAACTCAATGAAGACCAATTTTAAAAAATGGGACCCAAATTAAAAATCTAAAAACACGGTTAGATTTGGCATATCAAAGAACCCCAATAATTCAATTTTTGATGAAATCAAACAAAGTTTAATTTTAGACCCTTTTGACCTCAATATGAACCAATTTGATAGCTGGGCCCACAAATAAAAAATCTAAATACATGGTTAGATTCAGCATATCAAAGAACCTCATATATTCAATTTTTGTTGAAATCAAACAAAGTTTCATTTTGGACCCCAATTTGGACCAACTTGAAAACTGGGCCCATAATCAAAAATCTAAATACATGTTTAGATTCAGCATATCAAAGAACCTCATATATTCAATTTTTGTTGAAATCAAACAAAGTTTTAATACTGGACCCTATCTTGGACCAACTTGAAAACTGGGCCCATAATCAACAATCTAAACACATGTTTAGATTAAGGATATCAAAGAACCCCAAGAATTCAATTTTTGTTAAAATCAAACTAAGTTTAATTTTAAACCCTTCGGACCTAAATGTGGACCAATTTAAAAACGGGGCCCAAAATCTAAAAACTTAATAAACGGTTAGATTCAGCATATTAAAGAACCCTAAGAATTCAAGAATAAAATCCCATTGAAATTGGTCAAGAAATAAGCAACTTATACGAAGTATCTTCTTTTGCACAATACTGTGCAATTGAATATTTCTTGCTATTGCGCAATATTGTGCTATTGGATATTTCTTGCTATTGCGCAATACTGTGCAATTGAAGATTTCTTGCTATTGCGCAATACTGTGCAATTGAAGATTTCTTGCTATTGCGCAATACTGTGCAATTGAAGATTTCTTGCTATTATGCAATACTGTGCAATTGAAAATTTCATGCTATTGCACAATACTTATTATATAATAATTTACACATCCTGTTTGGTGTGTATCTCCTACAATATCATTATTATTTGCTTTTAAATATAAATCAGAAATAACCAACTTAAAATGGAAAATTTTAAAAGAAAAAAAAAAAGAAAAAAAGAAAAAAAAGGAAAAAAAAAAAATTCCCCCCCCCCAAATTTTTTGAACCCCCTTATGATTCATCACCCCCAAACTTAATCCCAGCCTTCCCTTTGTGGTATGGTACCTTGCAGTACAATTTCAGAGAGATCCATACACTTGAACACAAGTTATTGTCTGGAAGCTAGAAAAATGCTTGTTTTTTGGCCCCTTTTTGGCCCCAAATTCCTAAACGTTTATGGCAATTACCCCCATACTCAAACCCAGCTTTCCCTTTGTGATATGAAACCTTGTAGTACAATTTCATAAAGAACCATACACTTACACACAAGTTATTGTCTGGAAACTAGAAAAATGCTTGTTTTTTGCCCCTTTATGGCCCCTAATTCCTAAAATTTTGAGGCAATTACCCCCAAAATCAATCCCAGCCTTCCCTTTGTGGTATGGTACCTTGCAGTACAATTTCAGAGAGATCCATACACTTGAACTCAAGTTATTGTCTGGAAACTAGAATAAAATGCTTCGCTGGGGCGCAGCTTGATACGACCGCAGAGGTCGAACCCTGAACAGTTGGGGCAAGTATGGACACAACATTCAAGCTTGATACAGCTCTGAATTTGGATTGTTATTAAATATTTGACACAGCATAGGTTTCTGACACAGAAAGAATGTGGTCTAAGAACTTGAATTTTTTTAATTTACCTATTATGGTCCAATGTCCAAAATCAAAATACATGGTTATATTCAGCATATCAAAGAACCCCATATTTTCAATTTTTGTTGAAATCAAACAAAGTTTAATTTTGGACCCCAACTTGGACAAACTTGAAAACTGGGCCCATAATCAAAAATCTAAACACATGTTTAGATTCAGCATATCAAAGAACCCCAATAATTCAATTTTTGCTAAAATCAAACTAAGTTTAATTTTGGACCCTTTGGACCTTAATGTAGACCAATTGAAAAAACGGGACTTAAAATTAAAAATCTAAATACACGGTTAGATTTGGAATATCAAAGAACCCCAATAATTCAATTTTTTATGAAATCAAACAAAGTTTAATTTTGGACCCTTTTGACCTCAATATGAACCAATTTGATAGCAGGGCATACAAATAAAAAATCTAAATTCATGGTTAGATTCAGCATATCAAAGAACCCCATATATTCAATTTTTGTTGAAATCAAAAAAAGTTTAATTTTGGACCCCAACTTGGACCAACTTGAAAACTGGGCCCATAATCAAAAATCTAAACACATGTTTAGATTCAGCATATCAAAGAACCCTAAGAATTCAATTTTTGTTAAAATCAAACTAAGTTTAATTTTGGACCCTTTGGAACTCAATGAAGACCAATTTTAAAAAATGGGACCCAAATTAAAAATCTAAAAACACGGTTAGATTTGGCATATCAAAGAACCCCAATAATTCAATTTTTGATGAAATCAAACAAAGTTTAATTTTAGACCCTTTTGACCTCAATATGAACCAATTTGATAGCGGGGCCCACAAATAAAAAATCTAAATACATGGTTAGATTCAGCATATCAAAGAACCTCATATATTCAATTTTTGTTGAAATCAAACAAAGTTTAATTTTGGACCCCAATTTGGACCAACTTGAAAACTGGGCCCATAATCAAAAATCTAAATACATGTTTAGATTCAGCATATCAAAGAACCCCATATATTCAATTTTTGTTGAAATCAAACAAAGTTTAAATACTGGACCCTATCTTGGACCAACTTGAAAACTGGGCCCATAATCAACAATCTAAACACATGTTTAGATTAAGGATATCAAAGAACCCCAAGAATTCAATTTTTGTTAAAATCAAACTAAGTTTAATTTTGGACCCTTTGGACCTCAATGAAGACCAATTTTAAATAAAATGCTTCGCTGGGGCGCAGCTTGATACGACCGCAGAGGTCGAACCCTGAACAGTTGGGGCAAGTATGGACACAACATTCAAGCTTGATACAGCTCTGAATTTGGATTGTTATTAAATATTTGACACAGCATAGGTTTCTGACACAGAAAGAATGTGGTCTAAGAACTTGAATTTTTTTAATTTACCTATTATGGTCCAATGTCCAAAATCAAAATACATGGTTAGATTCAGCATATCAAAGAACCCCATATATTCAATTTTTGTTAAAATCAAACAAAGTTTAATTTTGGACCCCAACTTGGACAAACTTGAAAACTGGGCCCATAATCAAAAATCTAAACACATGTTTAGATTCAGCATATCAAAGAACCCCAATTCAATTTTTGCTAAAATCAAACTAAGTTTAATTTTGGACCCTTTGGACCTTAATGTAGACCAATTTAAAAAACGGGACTTAAAATTAAAAATCTAAATACAAGGTTAGATTTGGAATATCAAAGAACCCCAATAATTCAATTTTTGATGAAATCAAACAAAGTTTAATTTTGGACCCTTTTGACCTCAATATGAACCAATTTGATAGCGGGGCCCACAAATAAAAAATCTAAATTCATGGTTAGATTCAGCATATCAAAGAACCCCATATATTCAATTTTTGTTGAAATCAAAAAAAGTTTAATTTTGGACCCCAACTTGGACAAACTTGAAAACTGGGCCCATAATCAATAAAATGCTCCGCAGGGCGCAGCTTGATACGACCGCAGAGGTCGAACCCTGAACAGTTGGGGCAAGTATGGACACAACATTCAAGCTTTATACAGCTCTGAATTTGGATTGTGATTAAATATTTGACACAGCATAGGTTTCTGACACAGAATGAATGTGGTCTAAGAACTTAAAAATTTTAAATTGGACATTCACCTATTATGGTCCAATATCCAAAATCTAAATACATGGTTAGATTCAGCATATCAAAGAACCCCAAGAATTCAATTTTTGATGAAATCAAACAAAGTTTAATTTTGGACCCCGATTTGGACCAACTTGAAAACTGGGCCCATAATCAAAAATCTAAATACATGTTTAGATTCAGCATATCAAAGAACCCTAAAAATTCAATTTTTGTTAAAATCAAACTAAGTTTAATTTTGGACCCTTTGGACCTTAATGTAGACCAATTTGAAAACGGAACCAAAAATTAAGAATCTAATTACACGGTTAGATTCGGCATATCAAAGAACCCCAATAATTCAATTTTTGATGAAATCAAACAAAGTTAAATTTTGGACCCTTTTGACCTCAATGTGGACAAAGTTGATAACAGGGCCCAAAAATCAAAAATCTAAATACATGGTTAGATTCAGCATATCAAAGAACCCCATATATTCAATTTTTGTTGAAATCAAACAAAGTTTAATTTTGGACCCCGATTTGGACCAACTTGAAAACTGGGCCCATAATCAAAAATCTAAATACATGTTTAGATTCAGCATATCAAAGAACCCCAATAATTCAATTTTTGATGAAATCAAACAAAGTCAAATTTTGGACCCTTTGGACCTCAATGTGGACCAATTTAAAAACGGGGCCCAAAATCCAAAAACTTAATACACGGTTAGATTCAGCATATTAAAGAACCCCAAGAATTCAAGAATAAAACCCCATTGAAATTGATCAAGAAATAAGCAATTTATACGAAGTATCTTCTTTTGCACAATACTGTGCAATTGAATATTTCATGCTATTGCGCAATACTGTACAATTGACAATTTCTTGCTATTGCGCAATATTGTGCTATTGGATATTTCTTGCTATTGCGCAATACTGTGCAATTGAAGATTTCTTGCTATTGCGCAATACTGTGCAATTGAAGATTTCTTGCTATTGTGCAATACTGTGCAATTGAAAATTTCTTGCTATTGCACAATACTTATTAGATAATAATTTACACATCCTGTTTGGTGTGTATCTCCTACCATATCATTATTATTTGCTTTTAAATATTAATCAGAAATAACCAACTTAAAATGGAAAATTTTAAAAGAAAAAAAAAAGGAAAAAAAGAAAAATAAAGAAAAAAAAAAAATCCCCCCCCAAATTTTTTGAACCCCCTTATGATTCATCACCCCCAAACTCAATCCCAGCCTTCCCTTTGTGGTATGGTACCTTGCAGTACAATTTCAGAGAGATCCATACACTTGAACACAAGTTATTGTCTGGAAACTAGAAAAATGCTTATTTTTGGCCCCTTTTTGGCCCCCAATTCCTAAACGTTTCTGGCAATTACCCCCAAACTCAATTCCAGCTTTCCCTTTGTGATATGGAACCTTGTAGTACAATTTCAGAAATATCCAAACACTTACACACAAGTTATTGTCATGAAACTAGAAAAATGCTTGTTTTTTGCCCCTTTTTTGGCCCCTAATTCCTAAAATTTTGAGGCAACTACCCCCAAAATCAATTACAGCCTTTCCTTCGTGATATGGAACCTTGTGGTACAATGTCAGAGAGATCCATACACTTACACACAAGTTATTGTCTGGAAGTTACAAAAATGCTTATTTTTGGCCCCTTTTTGGCCCCTAATTCCTTAACTGTTGGTACCATAACCCCCAAAATCAATCCCAACCTTCCTTTCGTGGTATTGAACCTTATGGTAAAATTTCATGGAGATCCATTCACTTAAACTAAAGTTAGAGTGCGAAAACCAATGTGTCTTCGGACGACGCCGGACGACGCCGGACGACGACGCCGACGCCGGACGACGACGACGCCAACGTCATACCAATATACGACCAAAAAATTTTTAATTTTTGCGGTCGTATAAAAATCTAAACACATGTTTAGATTCAGCATATCAAAGAACCCCAAGAATTCAATTTTTGTTAAAATCAAACTAAGTTTAATTTTGGACCCTTTGCACCTCAATGAAGACCAATTTAAAAAACAGGACCCAAATTAAAAATCTAAAAACACGGTTAGATTTGGCATATCAAAGAACCCCAATAATTCAATTTTCGATGAAATCAAACAAAGTTTAATTTTGGACCCTTTTGACCTCAATATGAACCAATTTGATAGCGGGGCCTATAAATAAAAAATCTAAATACATGGTTAGATTCAGCATATCAAAGAACCTCATATATTCAATTTTTGTTGAAATCAAACAAAGTTTAATTTTGGACCCCAATTTGGACCAACTTGAAAACTGGGCCCATAATCAAAAATCTAAATACATGTTTAGATTCAGCATATCAAAGAACCCCATATATTCAATTTTTGTTGAAATCAAACAAAGTTTAAATACTGGACCCTATCTTGGACCAACTTGAAAACTGGGCCCATAATCAAAAATCTAAACACATGTTTAGATTCAGCAAATCAAAGAACCCCAAGAATTCAATTTTTGTCAAAATCAAACTAAGTTTAATTTTGGAACCTTTGGACCTCAATGTAGACCAATTTAAAAAACAGGACCCAAATTTAATCAAAGCGCGAAAGCGCTGTAAAGGCAGTTAATTACAGGTTGTGTGTATTTTTAGTCCAGTTATATCATTATCTTGCATAGTACATTGTACTTATCAGAGGTGGCTTTCAGTATTTAAGATTTAGAGTTCTCTAATGATATTGAAAAAGTTTTATGAATGTCATATTCTGAGCACTATATTAAGGGGATTGTTCTCACTTGTTTATGAACTAGTGCATTATGTCCAGTTTGTACCTTTTTTATCTATGTTTATAGTCAAATACTGTTTAAAATAGTTTGGCATTTTCTTTTTAGTAATAAGTAAATGTTATCCACTTTATTTTATTCAACTTTGCAAATGTGGTTTGTTACTGGTAAGTACAATGTATGGATGATAGTTGTTTCATTGGCAATCATAACACATCTCCTTATTTATATAATGATCTATATTCAACGACCTCAGGTACAAAAAAAATGTATGTAACTAAACTATGATGGGAAACCTTTGACTTCTTTCTTTAATATAAACTTTTGATTTGGTACCATAGAACTATGTAGAATAAATGTACATTGCAACATGTCAACTCTTTCAAAGACAATACTTTTTTTAGAAACTATAACTCCAAGCAAAATTATATTTCCAAGTATAAAGTAATTTATGAATGAAACAAGAGTGCACACGCTGAAATGTCTCGCCTTCTTTACTAATCATTGATATTATGTTGATAGTCCTAAATATAAAGCTTTATTACAACTGTCACATAAACTTAACATTAACCAAGTAAACTAAACATTGACCAATGAACCAAGAAACTGAGGTCAAGGTCAGATGAACCATGCTAGGCAGGCATGTACAGCTAACAATTCTTCCATTCAACAAATATAGTTGACCTATTGCTTATAGTTTAAGAAAAACAGACCAAAACACAAAAACTTAAAACTGAGCAATGAACCTTGAAAATGAGGTCAAGGTAAAAAAAAAACCTGGGTGACTGACATATAGATCATAAAATATTTCCATACACCAAATATAGTTGAACTATTGCATATAGTATTAGAAAAAAAGACCAAAACTCAAAAACTTAACTTTGACCACTGAAACGTGAAAATGAGGTCAAGGTCAGATGACACCTGCCAGCTAGACATGTACACCTTACAATCATTCCATACACCAAATATAGTAGACCTATTGCATACAGTATAAGAAAAACAGACCAAAACACAAAAACTTAACTATAACCACTGAACCATGAAAATGAGGTCAAGATCAGATGACACCTTACAGTCCTTCCATACACCGAATATACTAGACCTATTGCTTATAGTATCTGAGATATGGACTTGACCACCAAAACTTAACCTTGTTCACTGATCCATTAAATGAGGTCGAGGTCAAGTGAAAACTGTCTGACGGGCATGAGGACCTTGCAAGGTATGCACATACCAAATATAGTTATCCTATTACTTATAATAAGAGAGAATTTAACATTACAAAAAATCTTAACTTTTTTTTCAAGTAGTCACTGAACCATGAAAATGAGGTCAAGAACATTGGACATGTGACTGACGGAAACTTCGTAACATGAGGCATCCATATACAAAGTATGAAGCACCCAGACCTTCCACCTTCTAAAATATAAAGCTTTTAAGAAGTTAGCTAACGCCGCCGCCGGATCACTATCCCTATGTCGAGCTTTCTGCGACAAAAGTCGCATGCTCGACAAAAAGGAGTTCTTAATTAAGTAATAAACTGATTCGCTGAGCGCAGCTGGATACACCCACAGAGGTCCAACCCTGAACAGTTGGGGCAAAAATGGACACAATATTCAAGCTTGATACAGGTCTGAATTTGGATTGTAATTAAATATTTGACATATTATAGTTTCTGAATAAAAGTAGTCAAAGAACTTGAAATCGGTTATATGAATTGAATTTATATTCAATTAAAGATTTCTTGCTGTTGTGCAATACACTGTGCTGTTGTGCAATACTTAATAAATCTGTTGCCAGACTATAAACAAATAAAGTTCAATTTCTTCTCAATGTCATATTTGAAATTTATGAAAATCAATAGGGAGATTACATCAATAGCTATAAATAATTCACCAAAGTTTCATGCGAACTGCTTAAAGCATTTTTGAGTTGTTGTCCAAAAACTGAAAAATCCCCCCTTTTTTAATGAATAAAACCCCATAGCTCAGAAATGTAAAATCTAAAATTTATAAAATTCTAAAGGGAGCTTACGGGTTGATAATTTAGTCTTAGATGCAAGATTTTTTTATCAGTTGTTTGTGGCTTTGAACTAGCTGTCAGTAAATGCGAGTACTCTCAGATCTGTACTTAGTGTCTTTTTGTTGTTTGGATGTACAACTACCCGGCCAC